TCTTCTCCACCGGCTGCCCTCATACCACCTTTCAAATTTGTGTCAATTAGTTTACTTCTGCTAAAAATGTGGATCTGGGAGAGCTGCTTTCTTTCCATTGGGATTTGGGGAAGAGGCCCCAGTGAAAATACTTCATATGTGTACAGGGGCTCACTCACCAAATCTTTACTCTTTCTATACTAAGTGGGAAATGGGCTTCTGCTTCCTTTGTAGTATTCAGAAACAATGGGGGGAAACAACTTCCAATTCATTCAGCATTTGGGGGAGCTACAGGTCACAGTGTGCAGGCTGCCACATATCACAGACTCACGTCCCTGCCGTTCTCTTCCTGGGGTGGCAATGTGAGCTCCTGGGAAGGGCACGCTGCCACCATCTGCTTCTTAAAAACCATCGGGACAGCACAAGCACCATGTGATGGGCCCCATAAGACAGAAGCCAGCGGACTCTCACCCGTCAAAGTCAGACCACTGTAATCCATCCAAACCCAACAAATCTATCATGGTGCCAGAGCTTGGAAATTCCAAAGTTCCCTACTGCTTAATTTTTTACAGGCTCACACCTATAAACCCAGCACTTTGAGAGGCAGATGCGAGAGGAACTCGAGGCCAGGAGTTTGAGATAGCTTGAGCAACATGGCGAGACCTTGTCTCTACAAAAACTCAAAAAATTACCTGGGTGTGGTGGCACTCACCTGTGGCCCCAGCTACTTGGGAAGCTGAGGTGAGAGGATTGCCTGAGCCTAGGAAGTCAAGGCTGCAGTGAGCCATGGTCTTGCCACTGCACTCCAGCCTGGGCTACTGAGTGAGAGACTCCAACTCAAAATAATAATAATAATAGTCTGGCTTCTTAACCAGTTTCCTCTTTCAGACTGCCATAAGTCTGCTGCTGTGAAATATTGCCAATCAATAATATTTACTGAGTACTTGTGATGGGAAAAGCCCTTACTTTGGACAACTAAGATGGCACCAATGAGAACCTACTCTTCTAATAGGATGGAAAACACAGTTTGGTAAAAGCCAGATGAACGGACATCTGCATCCTGGGGGCAGAGGCCGAAGCACGTCCATTTTCGAGGTTCTTTCCCGAATTGGAAGAGATGAGTCTTGGATTCTTCTTCAACATCATGCTTTCCTACTACCTGAGTGCTCCCCTGAGGATTCTCTCCCTTGTAGCCTAACACATCCTAACTGACACTGTGGATACTGGGGGATGGAAGGAAGAGAGATGCTGGTGAAAGAAATGAATAGATGGCCAGGAACGGTATCCTGTCTGCTGGGTCAACAGCAGAGAAGCAAGAGTCAGGTAGGGATGGCGGCTGAGATAATATCACCAAATCTGGCAACCTAGAGCTTGCTGGTGACTTCTAGTGAAGAAAGTCAGATCGACAGGAGTTGAAGAAAGAATCATTTTTCTGGGATCTACAACTTGTTTTTTTTACTGAGTTTGTTGGTGCTGAAAGGGCAAGAGTATAGGGGTTTGAGGAAGAAGCATGACTAAGAAAATGTTTTTCTTTATTTTTATTTTTTAATTTAAAAAAAATTTTTTTTAAAGAGAGGGTCTTGCTTTGTTGCCCAGGCTGGGGTGCAGTGGCATGATCATAGCTCACTACAGCCTCAAATTCCTGGGCTCAAGCAATCCTCCTGCCTCAGCCTTCTGAATAGCTAGGACTACAGGCACATACCACCATGCCTGTCTCATTTTAAAATTTTTTATACAGACAGGGTCTCGCTATATTGCCCAGGCTGGTCTCGAGTGATCCTCACACCTTGGCTTCCCAAATTGCTGGGACTACAGGTGTGAGCTACAGCACTCAGCCTGAAATGTTTTTATTTTTTATTTAAGATAGAAGGGAGACAGTGATAGACTGAGGAGATTAGTGGGGGTTCAGTAAGTATTGACCTAACTGACTTTAGGATTTGAGATAAACATGGAAAATGACCTCATGATGATTACTTTCAACATGAGGCATTTCTTTACTCCCTTCTTCCTTTGAATCTTTGTGGGTTACTCCAGAAAATTCCAGAATATACACCGTGATTTGAAGAAAGCACAGTTTTGTCTCTCTTCACAATCAATTCCACCTACGGGACATTACTTCCATGATGCTGACCAATGAGGAAAGGCGTTCATTAGATGGTACGCAGAATTGACATTTGTGAAGGTCTATACATTGCTGTGCCCCCAATCTCCCCCTCAGCTGCCTGGTTACAGAACTTTATAAACAAACAGTAAATAAGGAAGCCAACCTTCCCGGGATGGGCTGGAGATTTCTGTGTGTATTCTAAGAGGTCAGCAACGCTGACGCTGACGCTGACGCTCTGGGGCCCTAGGGAGCAGAGACACCAGCTTGGCTCTGTCTCCAGGTTACAGAGCACTCTGTCCTTCGCAGCCAGCAGTCTCAGCGTGTGATTTGTTTACACGTTTTGAGTCTGTCTGGCCTTCATCGTGTCCTTGTGCAGAGGTGTTGCTAAATGGAAAGAATCTCAAATTCCACACTAAGAGTCGACGGGGAAGCGGGGTTTGCACATGCAATTTCCATTTGCAAGCACCTCTGGGAATCTCTGAGCTCCACGCTAGGAGACCACCGGTGCCCCAGGTTCCTCTAAGTGCTGAGGTTGAGATATTACAGTAGTGGTTATCATCTCCCTGCTTTTCAGGGTGAGGTAGCACATATTGTTTTGTATACCAATTTCTTATACTATGTTTGTTCTGGCAACAGTCAATCCAAATGATCTAATATGCATGCAGAAAGAATGTGCACTCTCCATGAGTAGTGCTAGGGGTAAGTAAGCCCAGGTGACAGAGACCCTGGTTTGGAAGGGGAGGGTGCTTATTTATAGCGTACTACGTGCCTGACATACTTGATCACTTTCACCTGGGCAAGGAAACTAAGGCTCAGCTGGAGTAAATGGCTTGTTCATGGATCAGAGCTTGAGCCCTTCTGTCTGGCTCTAATGCCTCCACCTTCCCCTTCCAGGCCAACTCTGAAAGAGCCCGGGCCCAGGGGTTTAGTGACTGGCTTTTCCTCAAACCTAGAATGTGCATCTCTGAAAGCTAGGACCTAAGAATGGGGTTCCCTTTCCAAAAAACCAAGTTCCAGAAAATACACAGTATGATGTCAAGGGCACAATGCTTAAATACACTCCAAGTCAATTGTTATGGGTTGAACTGTGTCCTCCACCAAACCCATAGGTCAAAGTCACTGCAGATGTGATTAGTTAAGATGAGGCTAAGCTGGCTCGGTGGCTCAGCCTGTAATCCCGAGCCTTGGGAGGCTGAGGTGAGTGAGCTGCCTGAGCCCGTGGGTTCGAGACCCTCCTGGGCAACTTGGTGAGACCTCATCTCTACAATAAATAAAAAAATTAGCCGGGTGTGGTAGACCATGCCTGTAGTTCCAGCTATTTGGAAGGCTGAGGTGGAAGGATCGCTGGAGACCAGAAGGTTGAGGCTGCGGTGGCCGGGAGTGGCCACTGCACTCCAGTCTGGGCAACAGAGTGAGACTCCAACTCAAAAAAAAAAAAAAAAAAAAAAGATGAAGTTATACTGGTCCAATAGGATCCAATAGGATTGTGTTGTCACAAAAAGGAAGTATGGGCAAATTGGAACACAAGACCAGGGTGATGCATCTTCAAGCCAGAGTCGGCCAGCACCCACCAGAAACCGGTAGATGGGCACAGAACGGATCCACCCTCAGAAGAAACCAACCTGCTGACACCTTCTATTCTCAAGAACTAGGAGACCATATGCTTCTTTCTAAGCCACTTCAGCTTGTGGTATTTTGTTAAGGCAGCCCTAGGAAACTAATACACCCATGCTTTATCTCTCAATGTGTCCTAACCCAGGGGGATGACAAACCCAGGGGAGGAGGACAGTTAGCACTGAGGAGGGTGGGGGGAATACTAGGGAGGCCAACATAGGCGGGGTCCCTACCACACTGGAAATGATTTGTTTCCTTAGTTGAATGGGTAGGTGGGTACCAGGATGTCTTTTCATTCATGTCATTTTGGAGGTCTTAAAAATTTTCAAAGTTTAAAATTTTAAAAAAGTTTTCATTTAATTTAGTTTATTTCTTTTGAGTTGGGGTCTCGCTCTGTTGCCCAGTCTGTAGTGTAGCAGCATAATCACCGCCCACCACAGCTTAACCTCCTGGGCTCAGGTGATCCTTCCACCTCAGCCTCCTGAGTAGTTGGGAATGACACGTATGCCACCACACCCAGCTACTTAAAAAATATTTTTGTAGATACAAGGTCATGCTATGCTGCCTAGGCTGGTCTCAAACTTCTGAGCTCAAGCAATCTGACTGCCTCGGCCTCACAAAGTGCTGGGATTACAGACGTGAGCCATGGAGCCCAGCCAAGTTTTCATTTTAGAGCCCAAATGACTTGCAAGAATAATCCCACTAGTCCCTGACAAAGCCAGGCCAGATCCCGGACCTCAAGCTCTGGGGATCCCTTCCACCCCCTTCCCTGGCCCCAGAGGAGGGCAGCTGCACAGCACAAGGTCTGTTTTGTCAATGAAGAACTCGTGTTTGGCCTTTTAATGACTTATCAGAAAGTAACATCTTTGGCAGTAATCAAAAGTGTTGGAAGAAACTAGACTAATTCTTAAGTTTCAGAAAACTGCCTAGGGCTTACAGGGGAGGGAAGGTGGTGGCTTGGAAGCTCAAGAAATCTCTAGTGCAAAATCTAAGAGATTCAAATATACAACTTAGCCATATTTGGCCTCACCCTGGTGAAGGCCAAGAGCACCAAACTGCTTTGTCCTTTCCACGTTTCTCACAACCACTTTTCATGTTCATTTCAGTCTGGTTCCTTTGAACACAAATATCAAGGGAAGAAATACCACACTTCCTTGTTCTACCCAGGGATGGGACAGCTCCAGAACCCTTATTGCTCCCCTTGAACACTCTCCCTAAGAACGTTCTGGGTGCTTCTTGTTCTACACAGTCTCATAGCATGTTGAAGATGAACTTCCTACCGACAGAAAACGTGGCCTCTTACCTGACTCCTGGAGATACCGATAGACCAGAAAGTTCACCTCGTCGCTGGTTATGCTCATCTTAGCCTCACCTCGCGGCGATGAGGTCCTGACAAAGCGGGAGCCACCCTCTGTTGGAAAAAAGCAGAGAGAGAGAGAGAGAGAGAGAGAGAGAGAGAGATCTGAAACACTGCTTGTATTTGTTTTTCTGCATTCTTTTTTTCGACAACCTGGACATAGGTGGTCCTCCCTTCTCAGCCTCCTGAATAGCTGGGACTACAGGCATCACCACACCTGGCTAATTTTTTTTTTTTGTAGAAACAAGCTATGTTGCCCAGGCTGGCCTTGAACTCCTGGGCTCAAGCTATCCTACTGCCTCAGCATCCCAAAGTGCCGGGATTACAGGTGTGAGCCACCATGCCCAGTCTTTTTCTTCATTCTTCATGAGATGATTAAAGAAAATAATATCCATGCTATTATAAACACAAAGGTAATTAACACCTGATTTGTGTTGTTCTGTAATCATATGATTACATGAACGTTTTGTAACTATAGATTAAAAAACTACAAGGGACCTCCAAAAGATAATTTCTGTTTTTTCTGGGTCCCCCTTCGTACAAGGTTGGGGCAGAGTAAAATACTAAAAAAAAAAAAGAGTTAGTCTATCTTATGAGTGGGAATACAAAAACCCCAGAATTTATTTATAAAAATTACATATTTATTCTTACATGTTTAAACTTCAGTCACCTTCAAAGCACTCTCCATTGGATGCAATACACCTATCAAGATGCTTTTTCCACTGTTCAAAACAGTTTTCGAACTCGTCATTTTTGAGGTCTTTTAGTGTTTCTGTCATTTTTTTGTTTCACCTCTTCCACATCAGCAAAATGTTTCCCTTTGAGGACTTCTTTTATCCAGGGAAACAAACAAAAAAAGTTGCTTGGGGTGAGATCCAGTGAATAGGGAAGGTGAGGCACAGGGTCATGCCATATTTTTGATCAAATACTGCTGAACATTCAGCGCGGTGTGGGCAGGTGCACTCATAAGTCACTCATCATGAAATGGACAAACTTGTTGAAAGAATTTACCCCCAAAAATTAACTGAAGCCGAATGTAGCCTCTCACAACAACGCTACCTGGTACATTGACGCTAAGGGGTTCCTAGAACACTTACCTAGCAAGAGAAGCCTGTATTACAAGGAACCTGCCCTCCAAAAAATAATTCCGTTTTTTTTCTGGGTTCCTCCTTGTACAAGGTCAGGTCAGAGTAAGGTACAAGCCACACTAATGAAGCCAAATTCAAGGACAACTGAGCACGAAAACAAACAACTGCCTTTGTATCCAGTAAAGATCCCATGTGTGTTATGATTCACAGTGTCCTTGTAGCAGGCATGAATGGAATCCTGACGTGCACTTGGGCAGACACGCGGATTAGACACTAAGCACTTTTCCAGACAGATGGAGAGGATGACCGGGGAGACTCGCAGTCACGTCAGCACCCCTGGGAAGAGTGACCATGTGGTCCTGGAGAAATGACAATCGCATACTGTTCACTCAGAAAAGTCTGAATGGGTTGAAGAGATAAGCAGGATGGTCATTCTACCTGTAGGGTGTTTGCAACACTGGTGAGGAAGACACACGTCAGTGAGCAACTCAGTCACTCTCCACGTCACTAGTGTCAGCAGGCCAGGGCTCCTGGTGGAATGCCAGAGCATGGCAGACAGAGGGAACCTACCATGCTTGTATTTTGCCACAAAATCCACTCTATCAGTCTGACTAAGACTTCCAGTGCCTGCAAGGTGGGTGGAAAGTCAGGGGTGAGGGGAGGTAGTGGAAATTGCAGGGTCCTCTGTGTCTGAGGCAGCCATAAGATAGTCTGGTTCTCTTCAAAATCACCCTAGTCAGACATGAGAGCAAACCAGCCCAAAGAGAACAATGGAGTAATAGAACTCTGTTTTCTGTGGATAAGCCAGAATTCATCAAGAAAAGCTGTTCTCTCCAAACAGTAGGAAACTCCCAAAAAGGCCTCAGCTTATTTCAGCGATGTCACCAACACTAAACACTGTTAGTCTGTTTGGGGACTGGCTTCCATGTCCACATCATACATTTTCGTATATCTTTATGGGAAGCAAAACTTTGATCATTGCATGAGGATTCCGTTTCTGCTTGTTTAGATAAAGATAAAAGGACAAAGTGTACATTCAAGTTGAGAGATTTTACCTTTAACAGAAGGACTAGAACTAAAAGTGGCTACCAGGGACACACCTTGCCCCAGTGAGTCCTGTCCTAGTATAATGCCCGCCCCTTGAGTATGGCCGGGACCTGTGACTTGCTTCCACTCCATGGAATATGTGAAATGAGATGGGATGTCTCTCCCTAGGTTAGGTCACATCCTATGGTGAGGTTGACCAGAAGCCACTCCCACAATGATTACATTGCAGACTGAAAGGAGAGACCCTCTGGCTGGCCTTGAAGCTGGAAACTGCCATCATATCATCTGCCCAGGGATTGGCAGACAGCCTGTAGGGAGCAAGGGAGCCTCAGTCCTGCAACCACAGGAACTGAATCTTTCCAACAACACGAGCTTGGAAGAAAAGCTCCAGATGTGAATGAGAACCCAGCCTGGCCAGTCCCTGAACTGCAGTCTCCAAGACCCTGAGCAGAGGCCCCAGCTGTGCCATGCCGACTCCTGACCCGTGGAGGGAGTAAGGTAATCACTGTGTGCTCTTTTTGCTACATTTGTGGTGATTTGCTCCACAGCAAGAGATAGCAAATACAGCTGGCCTAGGGTCGTTCTGCCTCTCACTCTACACTCATAATGGCATTTTATCTTACAGCTGCCAGAATTTTGATGCTCAAAAATGCTTATCTTCTTTGCTTAATTTGGTGACACTTCAGGACTTCTGAACATATTGCAAGGGAAATTTGATAGTCAAATACAAATATGTCCTGAAGGCTGGGCTCGGTGGCTTAGCCTGTAATCCCAGCACTTTGAGAGGCCAAGGCAAGTGGACTGCCTTAGCCCGAGGGTTCCAGACTAGCCTGGACAACTTGGCGAGACCTCATCTCTACAATAAATTTAAAAAAAAAAAATAGCTGGGCCTGGTAGCGCTCACCTGTAGTTCCGGCTACTTGGAAGGCTGAGGCAGAAGGATCGCTGGAGCCCAGCAGGTCAATGCTGCAGTGGCCATGAGTGTGCCACTGCACTCCAGCCTGGGCGACAGAGTGAGATTCTAAATAAATTAAAAAAAGTCTGTCCTGAGATTTGTTTGGACTCTCAGGCAGTCACCCCCAAGACAGCACAAAGAAAAAAATATTAGAAACTAGATAAGAAGCTGAGAAATCAGAGCATAACTCAATACAAAAATTAAACATTATTTAAGGGGAAAATAATGAAACAATAGCAAAAAGGTGTGTAACAATGTCACAGCTTTGAGCAGACTTTTGGTGATGCTGCATGCTGCCATACAGATGACAGTTCAGCTCTGGTGACAAATTTATGAACATATAGTTTTTTTCTACATGCTTCACAGCTGGATACCATCAAACCTGTGTCGACTAAATAACTAACTAAGGGCAGTTGCTACACAGGGTTACTAGGATGGCCAAAAAGAATGGACTTTAGGCCAGGCATGGTGGCCCACTGCACTCCAATCTGGGCAACAGAGTAAGACCCCGACTCAAAAAAAAAAAAGAATTGACTTTTAAAAAGTGGCTCACAGCCGGGCTTGGTGGCTCAGCCTGTAATCCCACGCTTTGGGAGGCTGAGGTGAGTGGACTGCCTGAGCCCGTGGGTTCGAGACCCGCCTGGGGAACTTGGCGAGACCTCATCTCTACAATAAATAAAAAATTAACCGGGCGTGGTAGCGCACGCCTGTAGTTCCAGCTACTTGGAAGGCTGAGGCGGAAGGATCGCCGGAGCCCAGCAGGTCGAGGCTGCGGTGACTGGGAGCGGCCACTGCACTCCAGTCTGGGCAACAGAGTGAGACTCCAACTCAAAAAAAAAAAAAAAAAAAAGTGGCTCACAACTTCAACTTCCAATACAAGTGCATGCATGGCTATGACCATTATTCTCCAGACTATATATATACTTGCAAAAGATGTTAAATAGGGAATTTTGTAATTAATTCTGAAGACTCTACTACAAAAATACAGAAGATAATTGTGGTTGGCCTTCCTTGGGCTAGCTGATCTCTCCATTCCCTTCCAGCTAAGCTTACCATCCCATGATTTATTACCAGATAAAAACATAATTCTCAGCATCTTAACCTCTAGCTAAAGAATTTTGGCTAAAAAATAAAAATCACTGGTCTGGAGCATGGATGAGGTTTAGCAATTACTTTTTCACAACAGAGGCTTTTTCGTGTGAGGCCTTTGACCAGGTGAGGATAGAGCTCTCCAGTTTCAGCCTCACGTAGCCCTGAACATTCAGGATGGGCTTAGAAACAGGACAGCAGGACTGGAGTGGGGCTGGCACACATCTCCAGTCCTGGGAAAGTATAAGAGTCACAAAAGACAGGAGGGCACTGTTCTATCTCCCAGATTAGACTAGTGGGAAAGGACTGATCTTGGAGAGTGCCTGATCATCTCTGCGCATGTTACCAGTGAGGAAACTGAGGCACAGAAAGGATATTGTATCCATCAAGACCTGAGAAATGCTCCAGTTTCCTGGCTGCCCTTCTTGCTTGCTACCCCTAACTCTTTTCTCTTTTAGTCTGTCCTGCCAAGTGCTTAGAAACAGTAAGTTCTAAGAAGGATCCCTGGCCATGGCATCTGGGGCCAAGTGACTCTCTGGTGGAGGGGTAGAGGAAGGACTGTCCTGTGCACTGCAGGATGCTGAGCAGCATCCCTGGGCTCCCCCAACTAGATGCCAGGAGCACCTTCCCCACTCTCTGCAGTGATGACAACCAAAAATGTCTCCAGACATCACCAAATGCCCCACATTGCAAAACTGCAGCTGGTCAAGAACCACAGGTTTAGAGGGGAAAAAAATCAGCATTTTGTGTTTGCAAGGAAGTCCATGTGTAATGTCGTAAGGCATGTGGAGCAGTCTTGCAGACAGCACTCGATGAACTAGCCAAGCTGCTAAAAGCAATCACTGAAAATACATCGCAAGAGCATGACCTTTTCA